GGGTTTGAACCCGCGAGCTTGGGTATAACAGTCCGGTACGCTAACCGTCACACCATCGCCGCCGCTTGGGTTCGAGAGCTAAGGACGATAAGGCATGAATTCACTGGCAAAGTACGTTCGTCAGTTAATTGATTATTTCGTGTGCAGTGCCAACTGCTAAGGTGTCAGTTCCATAAGTAGTGCATGCTTTATCACGTGATGTGGCTGTGATATTTCCCCGCTGGATGGTGAGATCTAGCGCTTACTTGAACGGCGGCATGAAAGGGGTTTCCTCAACGAGGTATCTCCCAACGAGGCACTGCTGTGGCGGTATATGTTGTCACACGAAACATGGAAGCAATGAGATGCGTATAGAATTATATAATTTGTAAAAGAGATGCAATTCACAGCTTTCTAATACTAAACATTGCTGAAATATAATAAAATTATTATTTTCCTTCCTATTTGGAGCATGGTTGTCAAATCACTGCTTTACCATGCTTTGAAAATAAATTATCTTACTACGCTACACTAATACTTACTAATCTAATCACATAAATTACCGATTTGTCTCTCCAGATGATTCGACCTAGTGTAATTAATAGGGGCGGAGTTATATGAAATGTATTTTTTTCATTTCTCTTTAGAACAATGCCGTTTAGTATAGAAATTCTTTTATGTTATGACAAAACGAAATGATCCGTTTTTATGACTTTTTCGTCGATTTCAGTTAATAAGTCATTTTTTAAGTTTTTACGTCATTTTTAATGCATTTTCATTGATTTTAATATCATTTTAACGGTACTCGTTTCTAACAATATTTACGAGCAGCAACAAATGTTCACCACAGAATTTCTGACTTGCCTATTCGATATTTTCGCTTATATATTGTAATGTCAGCCGTCGTGAGTACTTTGTAATGAATAAGAGGATGAAGTTTCGATTATATCAGTAACATATCCAACAGCTTGAGTTGTTCATCGGAAGGTGTTTTGATACATTTTTTACGTGCTTTTGTTTGTCTTTAGAGCATTTTAAGAGCATTTTATTGATCATTTTTGGTCACGTTTGAGGTCATTAAAATCGGATCCTTAATGTCGGAGAATCAATACCCTATCAAACTGGCCACTGATCGCCCGCGATCTTTCTCCTCTTTCTTGTTCAATTCTTTCCCCTTGCTCTTACATTAACAACCACTACACTGTTGCACATATCAGGTGACAAGTGAGGTGCTCAGAACTTGTCCCGGTGTACCGCTGAGGGAGATACCGGGAGAGGGAAATTTCGCACAACCCGATGTGGTCTGCCCCGGACCTCACTGTCCAGCTGGCGAGTAACCCTGGCATGTGCAGTCCCAGGAATAAATATAGTATATATCGTTGGCTTACGGGTGGGATAATTAAAGATGTTGTCATTGCCAACAAT